TCCCCTTTTTTTTTTTTTTTTTTTTTTTTTGGAGATTTTGTACAATATCAATTTGTAATGTTTAAAAAATAGATACTTTCAATTTATCCTATTTTTCTAAATATCAACAATATCCTTTTATTTTTCTAACGATAATTCCTTCTTTTTTTCAAAATCTTTACATTCTAAACTTAATTTGTAATGTTTAAAAAATAGACATCTGGAATTTCCTTTTTTTAATTTTTAATAGAAAATTCTTTTTTCTTTTGTGTGTTTTTATTATAGTGAATCCAAAAAACAATTTAGTTTGACAATTCAAAAATTTGAAATCAAAACCGAACGAAACCCAGGAAATCTTGCTGATAAACTTTTTAATTTATATATGATTCTAATCGTTGGATATGCAAATATATGATATGATTTTATAAAATAAATGAATGAGAAAATGTACCGTAGCCTGATTCAGTCGTGTTAAATGCAATCGATAGCAAGGGGACACATATGCTTGGTGCCCATAGCTTGTTGCTTCCAATGTATGCCCTAATTTGTCTTTTACATTAAATAAATATTTATCTTGTGACATGAAAAAAAATAATAGGTGTGTTTTCGAAATATATCAAATTTTGACATGAAAAAAAATATGAAGAATTTTCTATAATCTCTTAACTGAAATACAAAAACCTAAAATTGTTATATAATTTACTTGACGTGAAGCTTATGTATTTAAATACGAGAAACTAAAAAGAAACAAGAAAATGAAAAAAGAAATTAAAGAACATTACAACATGTGTGGAGTCCGGGGATCAGGAACAATGATGAAGCCGAGAAAATATCTAAGCTAAGGTCATATCAAGAATCTCTGAAGCAAAATTATTAAGCATGCTATATATATTCAGGGTTTTTCAATATTAATATTTTTATTTTTTTTCCTTTCAAAACTACTCCACAATCAATCATACGTGTATTTTCCGTATGTGTTAATATTTGTTTTATTAACAATTGAATAAATGTAAAAATAAAAAAAATTATTCATTAGTATAATTTTAAGTTTTATAAAGAATATAGTTTAAATGCAGTAAAAAACACAAACGGGGAGATGTGAAAAATACTAAATTCAAAGTTTTTTATAATTGCTAACAGTATGGTTAAAAATATATGGTATGATAAAATGTTATCGTGGTCGTATTGCAAAAAAAATGATTCCGTAAATGTGTAGTTTTGCCATTAAAAAGGTGAGGGAAAAAGAACCATTTTCTAAAACAAATATCAAATTAACTGAATATTTTTTTCTTGCCTTATTTAAACATTCGATTATTAATGAGTAGATAATAAGATATGAGTAAAATGATCATAAAATAAGATAGGATCGTTTTGTATCATTTTTTTCTTACAAAAAAACAATATATATATATATATATGAAAACCGGAAAATAAATTGGAAACGAGAAAGTAGGAAATCAAAAGAAGATATGAGGAAATTAAAAAGAGGAATGTAATGTGACCTTGTGATGGGATGAAAAGAAAGCTTCTTCTTTTTACAGGTGACATGACCTTCTCCCTCATTTCCCTTTTTATGTATTACCCCCAAATCCGGAAATTATTATTTTCTTTATTTATTTTTTATTATTAGAGGCAGAAGAAGATATTTAATTCATTACTTTAAAAATAATCTAAACTTGTCACAAATTCCTAATCATCCACATCTCAACTTATATGGCAGTATTAATCAAAATATAATTTATATTATTGATTACTTTCTATCTGTAATTAACACCATTCCAATTAGGGGGATGAGCTATATGAGGACCCTGCTTGTTACAATGTATTAGAAGAGTAAAGTGTGATTAAAGAGTTAAATGTGTAATAACAAAATAACAAAATTGAAAGAAAAAAAAGAAACAAAAGGATAAATAAGTAAATAAAATAAAGAGAAAATTAAAGGGTGATGGACATTGGACAAACGGCAGAGACCCGTTAAGGGCACTAATAGCCACGAAGTTCCGAAACCCCAACTACATGATTTGACGTTTCAGATTCTGTCTTTATTTTGGACCCCTTGTGAGTTTAATCACGCACCATCTCTCTCTCTCTCCTCCTCGGATTCCGACCGTATGTACATGCGTATGTGTGTATGCACATGTCGATATGCCATGCATGGATGATATCAGACGCATGTATATGTAGTACGTCTCTAACGTCGTGGGGTGAAATAGATCTGGACCCACATCACATCTCTTCACTTAAGAAAAGGGCGGTTCGGATTTATTCTCTAACGAGATTAAAGCATCTTATTAGTCTTTCCCACAATCACTTAGGCTGATAACATGTAGTATATCTTATCTGTGTAGTGTATGTATGTGCAGAGAGAGAGATATTTAATTACTTGTCGAATATGGGAAAATAAAATCATATGCTAAAATAAAATAAACGTTGGGAATATGATAGTAAGTACGGATAGTCAAATTAATTTACCGCATTTCTTGATATATATTGGAACGATTTGGGTTCAAAAGCGGATTTTTAAATCGTGACATCCGTAGGTTGGATATGAAACTTGATTTAGAAATTCGGATTTCTGCGGTATCTGAACCCTACCTCTTTGTAACCCTAACCCTAATCCACGCCTTGCCCCTCGCCGTGTAGAATTCACATTAGATCTCTACGTACTAAGATTTTGGATTATTTTGGTATTCTTTTCAAATAGAAATGTTTCAATTTATTCAAGAAGAATTTTAGAAGAAGGATGAGAAGAAAAAAGAATACTAGGATTATGGATTTTGTTAGCAAATTTTCTATTTATAAAAAAAAATCATTTTCCTTTAAACACCAAGAAAAAAAATGCAAAAAACATGGATTTTGTTAGCAAAGTTTCTATTTATATAAAAACAAATAAAATCATTGTCTTTTAAACACCAAAATCGGTTCTTTTCATATGTAAAGAATGTTTCTTTATACAGGTTTTGTGACAGACTTTATTCAGCATCATAAAAGTTACCATTTCACATCCCAAGATGGAATTTTTCGTCTTCTGTTAGCCCTTTCACGTTCACGTCTATACACATAACATATGCACACCAAAATATATATATATATTTGTAAGCATCAACATTCATAACGAGTGTTAAATCAAAATTCATCCACACAACCTATACGATATATATGTATGTATAGTGTGTTTGTAGAGAGGGAGAGGACGAGATATATATATATTACAATCCAGCTAATAATAATAATAATAATAATAATAATAATAATAATAATTAATAATCTAGAATACCTTAGCTTGCACCGAGAATATAAATTCACAACGTGAAAAACCCGTAAGGGTCGTCACTTTTTAGGAGAGTACTAAGAGAGGGAGTCATAGAAGAAGCCCACGTAATAAATAGACATAGATAGATACATCAATACATACATGCATACATATGCATATATATCTTCTTTTCATCCTTATGATCAGCTCTGTCTAGACATATATATAAAAGCGATAGATACGTAAAAGGATATACACACATATATACATATACACATATACGGAGGATACGTGTATATATGTATATGCGCAAATGCAAAGGTGGACTAGCAATAGCCACTGGACTTTTGCCCTGCAACTGCCTGGTCTAACTGCTTCCCTTGCTTGTTGCCATCCAGCTTTAATCCAAAGTGAATGTGAGGAAAATGTGCCCACTATAACCAAAATTTAAAAAAAAAATAAATCACAAAATAAGATATATAAATATATAATTTGTAATGAAAATTGCTTCCTCCACTTGCGCATAGTATATTCCACTATCTTACTATAACATTTATCTCTTGTTGTGTTCATCCTAAAACGACTATTCTCATAGCTAAAAACAAGTGACTCTATCCCATGCTTGTATAATCCAAACTTCTAACTCAATATTTCATATATTTAGTTAATCTTTTTAGTTATAAGCTTGTAATTGGAACTTATGATATATATATATATACATATTAGATTACATATATATATAAGAATAGAAAACCGGAGATTAATTACGTTTTTGGCAGCGGTGCTGAATGCCTCGCGATGGCTGATCTCGGGATTGCTAGCTTTGATCCTCTGGATTTCCTCTCTGCGAAAACTCTCCAATTTGAGAAACTTTTCCATAGAGAAATCATGCAGTATTATTATAACATGTCACCACAAGAAAAAACAAACTCAATACAAAATTTCAATTCGCTCTTGGGAAAACTTTAGAGCCAAAACTTACTTGATAAACCTGTTGTATGCCGAAGGGAGACGTTGTCTCTTCTCTGGCGGCGCTGCGAGTGTGTATATATATATATACAACAATGTTAGAGAATTCATGTAATTATTGGTTGTATTATAAAGTTGGTATTTAGAGATAAGTAATATATATACGCATATAATAGTATTAAATATTGGAATTAGGTTAAAAAAATTCAGACTAACGACGGATAGGAGGCATTCTAGGAGCTTCTCGCTCTACAGATTCAAAAGACGAAGTTGTTGAACTGGTGGTGGACTTGGAAGATGACCCACACTCCTTCCTTGTCTCTGGGGAGGTTATGTGCTGCTTATGCAACTTCATGATATCAAGCAATGAATTAATTAGCTAAATCAAACTTCTTGATTATGCAATTAAAACAGTGAAATAAGATCAAAAATATATGTTTGTATACATGTTATATGTATAGTACCTGAAGATCTTGTTGATGAGCAGGAGGCGTAATTTGATGAAGTGAAGCTCCCATGTTGAGGGACAGCAAATTTGTGCAGTGGCCACATCTCACGGTCACGATTGTGAACAGACTTGCATATGGCACATTTACCTGATATATGAAATATGTATATATACACGTGTATATATATATATGTATATATGAAGATCCCGAGCTTCGTTTAGTCACTAGAAATGATACATACACAAGTAGTCTCACTTGGTTTGTAATTAAATCTCAAACTATACAAGAATGACATAGTGAATATGATTTGAAACTATTAAATAAAACATGTAACATTGTGAAAATGTTTAGTCATTTGTTTACCGTACGTTCAGTTCATTAATTTTCCAATGTGGAAAGATGAAAATGTATAAGTTTTGTAATCTGCATGTGAATAAATAATTAAATATATATTATTAAAGAGAGGTTCTCTCTTAGGTCTATTTCTCTGTGGGTGGGTTTTGTATGACTTCCATGTCTGACACAACCCTCAAGGCAACAATGATAAAAGATGGTAAAAAAGAGAGACGAGAGGAAGAGACACAGTCATGTAAGAAAACGACCGATCACTACTTCAACCCAAACAATCAAATCCACAAATATATAAATTTACCATACATACATACATACATACATACATACATACATACATACATACATACATACATACATACATACATACATACATACATACATACATACATACATACATACATACATACATACATACATACATACATACATACATACATACATACATACATACATACATACATACATACATACATACATACATACATACATACATACATACATACATACATACATACATACATACATACATACATACATACATACATACATACATACATACATACATACATACATACATACATACATACATACATACATACATACATACATACATACATACATACATACATACATACATACATACATACATACATACATACATACATACATACATACATACATACATACATACATACATTATAACATATGCTGTTACATCTTTGTATGTAAATTGTTTGTGTATATATGTGGCATATTAGTTGGTTCTTTTGAGAGAGAGAGAGAGGATCCAAGTGATCATGATCTGCCATGATTTCACATTGTCGCATCTTTTGTAATCGATCAAGAAGTTGCTCAAACTGGGTTGAACAAATCTCTTGTACTTTCCACAAAAATCAAACCCAAATATGTGCAAGAAGACCTTCAAAGAATATTGAGTGTGGTCGTATTAATTGTCCCGAGCAGATTCATCCAAAAAAAAATTTCACCGTGTATGCCAATATATACACACATGACACATATACGTTACATGTATGTATGTTATACACATATATATATATATATATATATATATATATGCGTATGATGATTCGACTCTTTGGGGACAATTATTGTTTACAAAATAATGATTTTCAGTGTTTGCCAACATATTTGAAGCTATAACTTATCATTTAATGTAAACGAGGTTTAGGGACCACGCTCGTGCATATACGTGCATATATACATCATATATATCATTAAACGTATAAATACAAACATATATGGTAAAATGTTTTGGACAGATTCTCGAATACAGCGGTTAAAAAACGATTTTGTGAAGGTTAATAAGAAAATATACCGTCGAAGTCAACCTTTATAGCTGGACAAGATAAGTGAAAGTTCTCTTTTTTAGCTTGCGTCACATGGACATGTACGATCATACTCTATGAAGCAATTTGTTTTACCAGAAAATACTTATGGACATGAAATTTAAAGGAATATATACTAAAAAAAACAAAAATATAGTTTTTAAAAAAATGGAACCTTTACTAAAAAAAAATGAAGAACGTTATGTGAGATATGTAGGGTAAAAGAGGGTTTGTGTTTAGACCTAAACCTACATACATGTAACCCTAATCCCCTAAATCTGAAGCTGTTTCCTTTGAGTTTACTTTGTTTGAGCAGTGAATTATTTCTCCCGTTACCAAACCTATTTTCCTTATCGGGGAAGCTCGAATACATCGCAAAGACATAGAGGTTCCGAAAAAAAAAAATTAGGGTTTGCTTTATTTGCTTTCGTTATCTTCAAGAATAATCGCAGATCCAAACTCACCATAAAATATGAAATAAGAGAAATTAAAAAAATCGATTTTGGATAAATTACTTGGTCTAACAACAAAAATTATCTCTTGATCTGTGATGGGTGCACGTGTATTGATTTCATGAGAAATTAAATTTAGAACCCGTTTTTTTCTTATTAACAAATTTTCATTTATTTTTCAGTTTTTTTTTTTTTGCTAACCTGAGGCTTCAGGTTTATGGTCTTCTCACCGATCGAATCAAAATAGAAATAAATATAATCTATATATATATATATATATATATATATATAGAGAGAGAGAGAGAGAGAGAGAGAGAGATTATACCGCTAAAATGGTGTTGCAGAAATTGCAGCTCACATAGCAAACACGCTCAGATGACAACTCCATTGACATTTTCTCTGCTTTTTTTCTTTTTTTTTTGTGTTCGTTGGGGTTTTTGTGATTAGATCCTTTAGATCAAAGAAGGGAATTTCATTTCTGGGGAATTATGGAGAGAACAAAAGAAGAGGGAGGGCAAGAGAGAGAGAGAGAGATGAAACAAACAAAAGCTTACTAGAGAGAGAGAGAGAGTTTGTGGGGAGGAAATGAACAAAAATCTGAAAAGACTAATCTGGTCGTTTGGAGGAGAGAGACACGAGTGGGAACTATACTCCAAGGGTTTTTTTTTTCTCTTCTTCTTTGAATTAATATTTATTGGTATTTGTTAACACGTATATAAATAATATGAATAATTAGCAAGTACGCTAAAAATATTCTAGTGATAAGAGAAAATGTAAAACATACTCTTATCTTGGGTTCACTCATATTTTTCATTCTTTCCGTCTATAAAAGATGTAATTGAGTAAAAAATTTGGTGAATTTTCAAATTATAAAAAAAAAATATACGCTAAAAATGGATTGGAATGCATCTCGTACACACATTTTTTTAATATATTTTTGTTATTAAGTTTATTGCTAAGATCTGCCTCAAGTGATTGCTCACTAAGTGTATGTATATAGGCTTAATTTTTCACATTGCATTTGAGTTCTAAGAATTAGTTGAAACATTGGCTGGGAAACCTCCGTAGTCAAAAGGAAAAGAAAAAAACGTTTTAGGAATGCTAATTACAATTTAACTTTCTAATTGTAGTCTAAGATCACATATTACATTACTGGAAACAATAATCTGAACAAACTATATGTATAAATTAAGAAACACACGACGGTAGCTAATGTGTATGCTTTTGTGAAATTAATTATACTTATGTCTAAATCCGAGAGAAGGGCCATCTAATACATACGCATATATATATATATATATATATATATATATATATGTGTGTGTGTGTGTGTGTGTGAGTGAGAGAGTGATGATGAACAGAATGAGTGGATGGAAGAGAAAGGGCGAATAAGCATCATGGGTTTCTGAAGCGGCCGAGGTGACGACATTAATGCTCTCTTCGTTCTTGGAATGTCTAGGGCTTGATGACATTTTCTCTTTGTTTTTTTCTTTTTTTTTTCTTTTCCCTTATTTAATAATTTAAATCTCTATTTTCGTTGTTTTCTTTTTCCATAAGAAAAGCCCAATTTAACCAAAGTGGATATTTTTCAAATTACTAGGACATATGATCCTTGGTGGGTAATTAAGCTGGGTGAAGAAACGGGAGTGAACCAAAGTGAATCCAAATAAGCGAACGAATATTACACAGTAATATAAACAAATTTCACTTTAAGAAACATACAATCTATGTCTCCAATATCAAGATAATATATATACACACATTTACATAAAAAAAAAAATGAATTGAAAATATTTCAGGGGCAATGAAATCGTTGTTACGATAAATCCGAAGTATTTGTAGTGAAAAAGTTTTGTCCACATATCTTCTAAGAATCTGAAAAGAAATGGAACCAAGTGGAAATACTCAAGAGGCGGTAATTGCTATCACATGTTCTCCGTCGTCACCCTCCAAAAAAAAAAAAAAAGAAAGTAAAAGCACATCAATATTGAGCTTTATAGTGTATGAGGAACAATTCAACATTTTAGGGCTCTAATGGTGATATATATATATATATAATTTTATTTTTTATGGAAAAAGGGAATTAAGAGATTTTAAAAGTGACTTGCGTTATGGAAAATACGATTAAAGAATTCATATGATCGAGTTTATAAGGTATTAAAAAATAAAAATAGCGTTAAGATAATCAAAGAAATTAATAAAACTTTCAAATGTCTACGTCTTTCTAATTAAACTCAACTAATTAATCTCGCAATGTCACTGAAAGGTCATACAGAAAACTTCTTTTAATTGATAGTCTAATTAAATTCAACTAATCTTGTAATGCACACCAAAATTCACTCGGAAAATGACTTGAATTGGTAGTCTTCGAACTCTAAATCTCCATCTAGTGTTTTCTCACATTGATAGAAGTTGAAGAATTATTATTTCCCAAATTTATAATATGACTTTATGGGGTATCAAGGTGGTCTTTAAATTTATTAAGATCACGTGACTAGATCAATTGCAAAACAATACTTAATACATATACAACAATTTAAATTTTTTGAAAAGTAAATCCAACAAAATTAATAATAACATACAGAGCCGTCTCAAAAATATTTGGGGCCTTGTACAAATATTTAAACAATTTTCATATTGTGAAAAATATTAATATATTAATATAAATGATTATAATCTAAAAATATTAAATAATTTGATAATAACATGAATTTTTTTACACATATTTTCCGATTAAGTGAAAAAAATCTAAATTCTGTTCGACCGACGTGCACTTATAAATTATAGGCTTAAATATCATAGTAAAAGACAAAAAGATTTAGTAAAAACCAAAAGATGAAAATACAATAAAATATTTAACTTCGGAAAAAGAGTTCGCTCGTTGTGTGTTCGTTAAATGTGACGCAGTGTACAATCAATTAATGTAATAACGTGGAACTTTTAGTAATTACAACATATTTGCATGTGTCACACGTGGAGCAATTATGGAGGCTTATTGTGCTGGGCCCATATTGATCTGAGGGTGGACCCAACAACTCCATATTTGTTTGGACAACAGTGTGGGCCTAATGGGCTTTAATATTTTGTCGGCCCACTCATGTTGCCCCTGTTTTGTCCCTCTCGCGCTACTACAATTTGCCTCCGTTTTCTTTTTCTTTTTTCCCCCCTAAAGATATTTGAAATTCTGATGTGAATTATTATTTTTAGACTTAGTTTTTCGATAAATAAAGTATTCTCATTCGGTTTTTATATTAGTTTAATTCCTTCTATTTTTATAAAAAAAAATATTTATTTATTTTTTAAAATGATTTTCATTTTTCTTGATTTTTGACTCATTTTCTTATTTCATTGTTTTGACAAAATGGCCGATTTGAATTAGAGATTCAGATACGGCTCAGTTTTACTGTCCAGACAAAATGGTAAGATATTATTATTTTTTAATTCCTACCCAATTTTTGAGTTTTTTTTTCACCTCTTATATGCTATTGAAATAAATAAATAATAATAAAAAAAGAAATATTATTTTTTGGGTGGTGAAGTGAAGTCCTTTGTCTCTTTTGTCTTTGTATTTTATATTTTATTTTTTTCAAGATTGCAATGCAAATGCAAGTGGTCATTGAACAGTTTTAGATTTCACGTGGTGGTGAAATGAAGGAATGGTGTACCTCCCTTCTTCTTCTTCTTCTAAACCAAACTTTAACTAAACCAGATTCTGCATATAACTAAACCAAACTTTAACCGAATCCAGAGCAGAACTAAACCAAATCAGAACACAAACTAAACCAGACCAGAGTACAACTTAAACCAGATCAAAACACGACCTAAACCAGACCAGAACCTAAAATGGTTTGCTACAGAACAAGGACTAAACCAGAATAGTAAACAATCAGATTCGGAACCAAACCTAAAATAAAACCAGATCAGATCAGAATCTACACTAGTTGGAAACATAACCAGAACTAAAGTAGAATTTAAAAAAAAAAACACAATCAGACCACGGCTGGAATATGTAGCAGGACCAAAACTGATTCTAAAACCAGACAAGAGCCTTGTATAAAACCCGATCAGAAAAAGACCAGAACCTGTTTTGGGCTGAACCAGAACCTGATCTAAATCTTGAACCATAACAGACCATCACCTGCTCCCGAAACCACTCGAAACTCGACCAGAAAGTCCTGGAAAACAACCAGAAACCAGCCTATACCAAAGAACACGACAGGTGAACATGAACAGGATCGAGAACTCTCTCTACCAGACCAGAAACCAAACCAAAGCACACTACAGATCAAATGGAAAAAAAAACAGTAGGACATGTCATATATCAATCTCCACATCAAGAGGTAATGCAGCCAACAAGCCTTTGTTGTAACAATAAAACTTGCTCACTTCAAGTTCAGCCTAAGAAAGTATCCAATTCAACCCAGGAATCCTCATCATGCTCAAACACTAAAGCATTTAAGCGGCGTAATTCTAACAAAGTATTCATCAAGGCAATCATATAATTGTAGAAGCCGCACTCCAAAGAATTCCTTCGGGCAGTCAAAGTGAGAAAGAATTATGAATGCAGAATTAGAAAGTGGCAAAATTTTCAGCCAGGTTCCGTGTTACTGAAAAAGTTCATACCTGAAACCAGTGATTTACATAAAATTCTAGCTTCGGTCTAAAAAGTTGTAAGATTCAGATTCCAAACAGAACGAGAACACATGAATTTCTTCAAAATTCTGAAGCAAATGTATAATCTACTCGAACAATCAAACTGAATGGAAACAATCTCAAACGAAGTAAATCTTCCAACTTCCAAGGTCCTGTTAAGAGACAGCTCAATCTTGGAACAGTGAAAATTTGAAAACCCAGATACTCAGAATGATCGATCTTTCAGAGAAAAGTATCATCCAGCAAAAAAAATGATGTACAGCAATATCATCAGAGAAATCCTCGATAGAGGTATGCGATACCTAAGACGTCGCCTCCAGAATTCGAGTCTTGTGATCGGAATCGGACAATGCAGACAAGGAAGAGGATCTGATCCAAATGGTAGCTTCCAGAGGCAGAGCAACAGAGTCAAGAACATTGGGCGACAGCGACCTAACCTACGATGAGATCATGAATCTTCATTTAGGGTTTCACAGATCCAAGGGAGAAATTCCCCAGAATAGAATACAATCAGAACCCAATTCTAAGAACACGTATTTTTAGGAACTAACAACCGAAAATGATCAAAACCCTATAATCTGTCCGAATCATCGTCTACTCGACCGGATTCACCAAAATCCAAATTCCCAAAATCCGAACTTCAAAAGCCCTAAATCAGGGACACCCATTAACAAAAACATCTGATCAAAGAAATTAGCGACAAGGCAATCGAACAAGGATCCGATCCCACGGAAGAACAAAACACTCAAATCAACAGTCGCTCTTC